CTTTGAAACAGGATGTAGGTAATCAAATCGTTGAGACAATGTCCTTGCTGGTTGAAATGGCAAGAAACTGTTTTTTCTTTGTGATCCTGTCTAATATCTGTTTTGTGGACACTGATCCTTTGGCGAAGTGTCTGATACGTTTGTCCAATCTACACAGCAGACGGACACTTTCGGCACATGATAGTATAAATTATATTTCTGGATGCTCAGGAATGTGTGTTCTTGATCTTATAACTCACTTGGTTAGGTCAAGTTTTGTCATATGGTTGATGGATTTCCATTCCAAACGGCTAAATGTAGTGCCTTGCATGTAGAATAGTGATAGAAATCACTATGTGACATTTAAGATTCTGTCATCAGAGCAACGGCTTTAACTAGTGTCTGCTTGTTGGTGACAAGTCTGGTCTCCCACAGACAAGTGAAAGGGATCAGATGTGCTGGATTGACTCTGAATTCTTCTGGGAGGACTTGTGTCTGGAGTTTTAAATTCTTTAAACATATACTGGATGCTGCAGACGCTCAGCCTTGCTGACTAAAAACACTCAGCCAAGTGTTCCTTCCTGTAGGAATCTCACCTTCACCTTCAGAGTGTAAAAGGTTAACTGGTTACTGGGTTAACAGGCTGTTAAGGCTACTGCTTACCAGTGAACCTGTTAACCGGAGGTCTGGGCTCTGTGGGAGCAGCCCTCCACGCATGGCAAGCGGCCCAGCTGGACCATGGACTGGACTGGAAGAGCCCCCTGCCTGCGGTGGGCAGGCCAACATGATCCCAGCTGCAGAAGTCCTGGAGCAGTTCCCGCCGTGGGATCCCAGCCCTCCACAATCAACTGGTTAAACCATTAACATTATACTAAGTAACTGGTTAACTTTTTAAATGGGTATTTACATCCCTACTTCACATAAAACATCAGATGCTTTAACTTCCAGCAAATTATATTACATGCGTGTGGGGGAGAGGGGAGGAGTGCGTACATCTGTGAGTTTGTGTGTATATTAGAGATGTAAAATCCCGTTTATTAGCTAATCGGTTAAACGTGAAGTTTTAAGCGGTTAACCAATTAGCAGCAGACTCTCCCTGAAGTCCCCCTCCCTGCCATGGACAGGAGCTGCTCCAGATGCCCAGGGCAGCCCCTGCCTGCAACCCCCCAGCCAAACCTTTCACATCCTGGGTGGGGGTGGGGAGGGAGGGGATGGGGAAAGAGAGAAGCTTATTAAGCTTACAGCGGCAGAAAGCCAGACACAACTGGACATGTATTTACTGTACTCTTATCAAGAGAAGTTCTGGCTTTAACACATTGTGATCTGGGTTCACAAGGTTCTCAAGGCATCAGCAGGACAAGAAAAGTGAAATTTGAAGTACAATGGAATTTTACAAAGATGTTTTCAAAAAATATTACTACAGTAACACTGGTCACTAAGCACACAAAAGTCACTTGCAGTCTAATCCAGCAATTCTCAGACTTCATTACACTGAGACCCACGTCTGACAACAAAAGTTACTACATGACCAGTGTTCCTTTAAGCTGTGTGGCCACCCAGGAAAGATTCATATGCCACGCAGTTGATTAGCAGAGCACCCACAGCTAGGTTTTTGTTTCTACTGATGGTGCACGTTCACACATGCCTTTGTGCACATAAAATTATTCCACACATGGATAGAAAAGTCCTGCATGTTTGAGAAAGATTAGAGGGAACATTGCACATGACCACAGTGCCTGGTGTCTCTCTAGATTCTGTAATCTAAATCAAGACCAGCATTAGGGAGTATCAAAAAGGGCAATTCCCAAAGACCCACACAAGAGGAGCCTCCACAAAGCTAAGATGCTTGGACTTTGGCTTCAGCCAGGCAGCAGGGAGTTTAATGCCAGATCAGTGATTCCCTTAAAATGAATTTGTGACCCACTTTAAACTAACAGTGTGCGACCAATCTAAATCTAGTCTGGTCTACCAGTATACAGAACAAATGGGTCTGATCTACATACTGTTGGTGAACCAAACGATAAGCAGGTTCTGAAATAAAAATCTGCCTACAGGTTCTGCGCTGCATGCTGTGAACCCATTCTGTTAAATGGCACTGGGTTTGATTTAATAACCTGGAACTGCTTCTGCCTGCCTCTATATAGGGGGCTCACACGCTACAGGAATGGGGCTAGATGGAGCCCAAGTTTGTTAGAGAAATGATTGAGTTTATTCTTGTTGACATAAGGACTGCAGTACCCGTTTATGTGTAATCCAGAATTCACGTCCTTTATTTATAACTGAGTTATGTTCCATTGGCACATGGGGGACACTGGGGGGTTTCACTGCTTCCAGGATGGGAGGGGGAGGGGGACGACTCGCTGAAATAAACAAAAAAAATCAGCAGTGATGATATAGGTATCTCCCTCCCTGCTTCTTTGAAAATTATTTTCATGTGTGTTGCTTTGTGCCTCCCCTTTCCTGCTTTTCAGTTTGTGACGATGTAGCCATGACACTTCCACCTCTCCAGGCAGAGTTTGAACAGCCCTTAACTCACAGCCTGGAGAAAGGGAGGGGGCCAACCTGGTTTACAGCTGCTCTGAGCGCTGAAGAGGTCCCAGACACAATTAAAACAGACTTTGGGGCCCATCGAAGTTCCACCAGCAGGGTCGCCATACGGGCTCTGGGACTGCCATACGGGCTTCCGCGCTGCTTGCTGTGAGCCCATTCTGCAGCATCCTGATTGCCCCCAACACACCTACAACCAGACTTTGGTAGCCAGTCTCATGGGTCTCCTTGCAGTACCTGAACTGGAACCAGGGCTTTTCAGACTCCATTATGCCATTCCGCCCTTTCAGGTGGCATAAAGTGGCTGGAGCAGAGGTAAAGATCCCTCCCGGTCTCTAATTCAGCCTTTATTTTTGACACTCACACCCCTTCATAAGACCTTAAGAACGGCCATACTGGGTCAGACCAAAGGTCCATCTAGCCCAGTATCCTGTCTGTCAACAGTGGCCAGTGCCAGGTGCCCCAGAGGGGGTGGACTGAAGACATGATCAAGCAATTTGTCTCCTGCCATCCCTCTCCAGCCTTTGACAAACAGAGGCACCATTTCTTACTCCCTGGCTAATAGCCTTTTATGGACCTAACCTCCATGAATTTATCTAGCTCTTTTTTAAATTCTGTTATAGTCCTAGCCTTCACAGCCTCCTCTGACAAGGAGTTCCACAGGTTGACTGTGCACTGTGTGAAGACGACCTTTTTTTTATTAGTTTTAAACCTGCTACCCATTAATTTCATTTGGTGTTCTCTAGTTCTTATATTACAGGAACACACAAAGGCACTGCAAGCTTTGGGCCAGTCAGCAGAACTCTAAAATTAGAATGTGCAGCAACAAAGCCCTACCTTGCACCCAGGAAAGCAACGGATCTAAAAAATACTGTCATCCTCCCCCCCCCCCAAGCTTAAAGGTCAGCTGGCAAGAATACATATTCCCATATGAAAACAACATTCCTAAAACAAACAAACAGGCGCACGCGCGCGCGCGCACACACACACACACACACACACACACACACACACACACACACACTAAAATAAATCCCCTAGTCAATAGTTTTGGACAGTGAATAAACCAGATGCAGAACACTATGGGATGCAGCCAGGAATATAAAGTGAGAAAAGACCACATGTGTGTCCCCCGCCAAGAGTGTATAGGAGCAAAAGAATTTAAAAAACAACATGCCATCTTGGAGGCCGTCAACCCTGTAATGTAATGAGCGAGACAATGAATAGGTTTAGGTTTGGTCAGCAGCAGGGGTAAGGAGAGTGTTAAATCAGCTTCAACCGATTACAAAAAAGCCACATTGGGCTCTTGTGGAATGCAAAAGGAGTTGGTAAAATCCAGGCGGGGCTGTACAGAAGTGTAATCACAGCTCAACATCACTTCTCTGAAGCAATTGTCTTGCTCTCCACAATATCAGGTTTCATTAAAAAAAACAACAAAACAGCCTCTAGCTGTCCTGGTTGTGAAGAAGGCCTCAAACATGAACTAACTGTAAGCGATGCAGAACTGTGTCAGCAAAGTGCTTACAACAGCTACATGAACTGCCCTACTCCTCCCTGGAAGGGATTATGAATCAGATACTCAGCAATGATCATTTAAATGGCACTATTGTTCATCGTTTCATCCAGAGGTCAAAGTAAGTGGGTGCATCCTGGTGGGCAGCTCCGGCAAGAGCTGGCTGAGCTGCGGCAAAAGCCAGCAGGGAGCTATTTCAAGAGCTGGCAGGGACCCGGGTTATAATAGGACAGGACCTGTACGAATTCTGAGTTACTTTCACCGCTGGTTTCATCTTTCCTATCATGAGTAAGGAGAGGAAGGTCCCCAGATCTGCACCACCCACCTAGCTGATGGCTCATTCTAGTGCCACAAGTGGCTGGTGTTTAGAGATACCATCGCTTATTTATCTCCCTGGGTGAGAAGCCCAAGGACCAGCCAAGGAGATATCCGAGCCCCAATGAGGGGAGCCAAGCAGGACATACGACATATTACGAATATCTGCCCCTCCCCTAATTTGACTCCTGCGTTGAGAAATCTGGAAGCACTTTGCAAAGGGGGCTAAGTATCACTAGAGCCATTCTGTAGATGGGGGAAAAAACACTTGCCCCTCCCCTCAGCCCATCCAATCGTCACACAGAGCAGAGACCCTGATCTGTGCGCTGATGCTGGGACACCGCCTCAGCCTGTGCATGGATCAAGAGGCCATAGAGTTTCGTTTTCATTCCAAACAGCATCACATTTAATGTTATGTCTGTTTGACTTGGGACAATAGGATGTCTGAGACAGGAACCCCCTCAGCCCCACACATCAAGCTGATTCTTCTGCATCTCGTTTGCTCGGGAAGTCCCGCCACCGATTGTGCTTGGGTTTTCCTTATTGAGACCCTTGCCATTCATGTGCACTGAGTAACAGCCACTCCTGGTGCCTGCATTTCCCAGCGCACTGCATGTTAAAGCATCGTGAGGAGGAGACGACTTACGGGGGATTGTCGCATTTCCGCTGTCTGAATCGGGCGCCGGTGCCACACGTCCTGCTGCACATGCTCCATTGACTCCACATGCTCCAGTCTCCATCCACGTGCTCCGGAATGGGAGTCTTACTGACGCATTCCCCAGCTCGGCACCACTGAAAACACAACAATGTCAGCACAGCACAGGCTAAGGCCCTGGTCCTGCAGATCCTTGTGCATGGTGTTTACAAGACTATTCCCGAGCATACAGCCAAGCACAGGTGCAACCTCAGGAGGTTGTGGAATCTCCATCACTGGAAATATTTAAGAGCAGGTTGAATAGACCTGATGATCTAGATCGGGGTGGCCAACCTGTGGCTCCAGAGCCACATGTAGCTCTTCAGAAGTTAATATGTGGCTCCTTACATAGGTACCAAATCCAGGGCTGGAGCTACAGGTTCCAATGTTCCACTGGGTCGGCAGGTGTTCACGGTTCAACCCCCAGCTCTGCCCTAGGTTCTGTCCCCCTCCACCCTTTCCCCCTAGGATCCTGCCACTTCCTACCCTCTTCACAGAGCCTGTCAAACCCATGCTCCCCCCCCCCCCCCCAGTGTCTCCCACTGAGAGAGAGCTGATCGCAGAAGGAAAAGGAGAAGGAGGCACTGACCGGTGGGGCTGTCAGTGGGCGGGATGGGCTGAGAGCGGTGGTGAGGAGGTTGGACACCCTTGACCTAGATGGCGCTCGGTCCCGCCATGAGGGCAGGGGACCGGACATGGTGACCTCTCGAGGTCCCTTCCAGTTCTAGTGTGCTCTGATTCTGTGCATATTAGGGGAATACAGATGGTCCCAAAAGTGTTTGGAGCTTAAGGACTAAGGAAAGCAGGACATGCTTTGATTATGGGGGGTGGGGGAGTTAGCAGCCTCACCTCCCTGCTGAGGCTGTAGCAGAGGAGGAGGGCGCTAGTACAGGGGCAGGGGCACGCAAGGGAAGGGGAGGGTGGGGGGCGTATAATTGGGAGGGAAGGGGAGAAGGGGAAAAAGGGGGGGCAACTACTCCCTCCCGCCGACTGGTTGCTGGGAGGGAGAGAACCAAAAGGGGCGGATAGAGCAGGGGAACCGAGGGGCCAGCAACCACTCCTCCCCGCAAGGCTGGAAGCGGAGGAGGAGGGTGCCGGCAGAGCAGACAGGGGGCAAGGTAACGGGTACAGGGCGGGGGCCGGCTCCTCCGGCTGCACTGGGATACGGGGGGGAGGGGGGGTTGTGGGGCCGTTGGGGAGGGGCAGGGGACAAGGGGGGTAACTAAAAGGGGGGGCGCACGCGGCCCCG